CATTGGCAACAACATGGATAGAGCTAGAGAGTATAACACTAAGCAAAATAAGCCAGAGAAAGACAAATACCATATGATTTCACTGATACGTGGAATTTAAGAAACCAAACAAGCAAAGGAAGAGACAAACCAAGAAACAGACTGTTAGCTACAGAGAACAAACAGATGGTTACCAGAGCGGAGATGGCTGGGGGGATGGGAAAATAGAGGACAGCTATGAAAGAGTATACTTATCATGATGAAAATCATAAATATTTATATGTTCATAGCTTTAGGATCACTGATGACCCATAGTCTTTACAGTGAGGGAAGGATTATTAATTTCATCTATTATATAATGAAATTGTAGTGATGGTAAGACAAGATTAGGATAGTGGCTAGAAGAATAGTTCAATCTGTTTCTACCTCTTGTGTATCTCTTGTACTTGTGTGTTAGGTTAGCTGTTAACTTTAATGAAATAATGTAAATCACTAAGGAGCTAATGAACAATCATTAATGTATGATCATGAAGTGTAAAAGTTCTTCTACAATAGGTGATGTTGCGTCTTGGAAACCTAGCTGGAATGGATATGTCACCAAGATATAAAGTGTTTGGACCCATAATTTCACTTTGACAAAGTTATATAATTTTTACTAATACCTCACTAATTGAGAAAGACATAGTAGTTACGATACTGGCTTGGCACAAGCTGGAGTAGGTTTGATTCCTTCCCTTCTTATTTTACATTTATGTAAGAAGATTCTTCAAATGTATGATATGGGGGGCATCCATGTAGTCATTTGAGACAGGTAGTTGTTAATTCTACTATTGCTATTTGTGGCTTAGATGCAACTTCCTCTCAAATTATGAAAATAATTAATATTACTGCTATTAATGAAATGAATGAACCTATGGTGGATGAGATGCATACACATCTGGATAATCAGAATCAGCTGGTGGCATTCTTGAAAAGTCAAGAAAGTGTGACGGGAAGAAAGTTATGTTAACACCTTTGTGTTTGTGAAATGAATTTTTGCTCAGGTTGAGTTAAATGTATATAGCCTGAAAATAATGGGAGCTGGTGAACAAATTCTCCTATACTGGTAAATAATGCTTCTATCGATAAGATGTAATGAAATTATGCTACTACATAATATGCATCATGGAAACAAGGCCCAAGAATCAATTAGCTAGAAGTTGAGTCCTGTCAGGTCTCCTACTGTAAATAAGAAAATAAAACACAAGGCTCAGAGTATGGCTGGCGATCATTTAATATTTCTTCCATGGAGGGTTGTTTGTCAACTAAATACTTTTACTCTTATAGGAATGGCAATCATTATGGCAGCTGATATAAAACATGCTCATGTGTCGACATCTATGCCGACTGTGAATATATGATGAACTTGTGCAATAAAGTCTAAAAATCCAATGGAAAAAAATAAAAATACAGAACCTCTGCCCTCAGCCCAAACCTACGGAATCAGAATCAAAATCTGTACCTTAACAAGACACAAAGGTAATTTGTATGCACATTAAAGTTTCAAGAACACCGCTCGAGACATTAAAATTCATTTACTAGAAACATTATATATCTATTCAAATGATAAGCAGCAAAGTCCGTTAAAAATTAGAGAAAATATCTGAAAGCTATTTAACAGGTATTCTCCCCCAAGAATTCAGTCTGAATCACAAAATGATCAAATGTGTGTGCGCGGTAGAAGCAGAGGGGGGTCTCCTGGAGAGTTTATTATTGCATAAAACCTAATCAAAATCAATTAATATCTTTGAAAGCAACTGTAAAACAAATAAATTCAAGCTGTCTGGTTAAAATACAGCTATCATTTGACATACTCAATATCATAAAAGATAAAATACATCAACTGACATAAATAAAGTTGTTACTTGATAAATTCAATCTGCTGATAAACTATTATCTAGAAACTAAAGACAAAACAAAACCCTGCTTCCTCACTCTAAAAGCATTTGCTTTTCTAAGTGCAAATGTCTTACTCAGTTTCATTATAATCAATCAAAAGTCATAAAGTAGTACAACAGAAATGGGCCTAAATTAATCAGTATAAGCCATCAATTAAACACTTGGGGACAACTTTTGAGGAAAGCTAAGTCGTATAACCCTAAATAAAGGGAACTTAGTATACAGAAAGAAATCTGGGCAATAATTTTCCCCCAATATGGGCCAGGGGCAGAAAGTGTAAGAACAGCTGATAGAAATACACTGGTGGCTTGAGCAAATTTAACACCCCCTCTATAATATCCTTATTAGCTCTAAGATTCTGCTTTCTATTTGATTTCTCTAATAAACTTCCCATCTGGGAAGAAAATGGTGACCTACCAAAGACCTCAAAGAGTGATTCATTTAAAAATACCAAGAATATACCCATTACATGTAACACAAAAATAATATTTTCTGTGAAATATAACTATTTTCTAGAACAAAAATAAAACCTTAGGGAGAATACTGACACTGTTCTACAGTTTTGAAAATATCTTTAATGTTTGGCTTTGTAGAAAACAGATTAATTATTTGCTTCTACATTCAATGCTCTATATTGTTGTTTTGGCTAACTTATATAAATATACAGGCTTATAAAAATATGTGCTGGAAAAAGGAGTAGCATTTTAACAGACTTCAGATTTGTGGATACTCCGTTTTGATACCACACCAGATTCAGTAAGTATAGTTTATAACATTAATGTAGAATCTGAAAGCTTATCAACAAACATTTTGATCTCTGTTACATAAAAATCCCTAATTTGACCTTGCATTTTGAATAGTTCTTTTTCACATGCATTATTTTGTAACATCATGCATTGACCATTTGGAAAATATTTGTTTACTGAATTAATGTAGATCTTCTCTAAACGTTGACACATTTCATTACATAAAATTTTTTAAAAATTAGATCTGTTAAAATGACAAAAAATCTCAACAGAAAACTGTCTTAAGAATAATAAAGCTGTCAAGGTCATGGTAGCAGATACGTTTTCCAAAATTCTAATTTTCGTTTAGAAGTTCACATTTTATCGACTGGCAACAAATACTGTTGTCCTTACAGTGAGAGATTCACTTCATTTATTTTAAGAAACTGTCTTACGAATATGTAAGTCTGATAACCACACTTTATCAGTCACTCTTTCAAATAAAAAAATGGTGTTTTATGAAAAAAGTGGCTTGTTGACCTTGCCCTCAAACAAGGGCATAAGTGCTTTTCCTTAAGACAACCATCATATTTGACATACAGCAGAAGTGCTTTGTATGTACTCTCCATTTCAACACACAGATTAAAAAAACATGTACTTAAGATTAATAATAATCAATAATTCGTACTGCTTCATCCAGAACAGTCTTAAGTGAAACTGATATTCATTCTACTGCAAGTGTGTGGCAGTGAAGAATACAATAACCACCTGCAAAGTGTGGTACACCGCCCTGCTTTGTGCTATGGTGCCCACAGTTTTACCCATCATCTCTTTTGCCGATCAGTACAAATGTAAACACAGAGGAAAGGGCAAATAGCATCTTAATATTATTATGGAAATAGATTTGACCTCACGGATTCTTTCCAAGAGCTTCAGGTACACCTGTGGGTCCACAGACCGCTTTGAGAACCACTACACTAAAACAATCAAAATCATTCTAAGCCTTTCCTACCATTATTACACTGCACTGACTCACTCAGTCAGTAATTACAGAGGGCTCGGTATGTAGTGCCAGGTAGGTACCGTAAAGTGTCTCAGTGTTTGGGTGTCTTTGTGTCATTCACTCATGTGCCCCAAGTATCTAGAATAGTGCCTGGCTGGCACACAGCAGGCTTCTGGTATTTGTTGAATGAATACATAAATGGGTAGCTATGATATATTTTAACCTAGATTCCAAAGTCTTAGAGTGCATCCCTCGCACACAAATAATCTAATTACGGGAATTATTTCAACATAATGGGGAAGACTAACGTGCTAGGCAATACAGAACCTCTACATTCATTATGCTTGGAGTAGTTTTATCTTCATACCCTTCTAAACTTAAATTATTATATATACAGGCAGTCTTTGCTTTGCATGGTACCATGGTAACTGAAAGTCATGCATATCAGAACCATATCCTCACTCTGGTTCCGTGGTAACTAAAATCTGTGGTAACACGGTACTGTGCAAAGCACATTAGTGCAAATGAGAGGAAAATAAATGCCAATGACCCATACACTCAATTTTAGTAAAATGGGAAGGAAAGCATCTTAGGAAAAATGGGTGAGCAGCCTTTGGGCAGTGACTTTGAATGAGTGCCCCTTACAGGAAAGCAAATTAGATACTTAAAATGACTTTTCAAACTCCTAACATGCTTCCCCTCCCACAGTCCATCGCCCTTTGAGAATCACTGCCTAGTGATCAACTAAAAGAAGTATTACAATCCTTCAATGGCATCTGTGAATTGCTTGGGGAGCAGGGGTTGAAGAATCAAGGTGGTTAAGGGGAAAGACCACTTTATAAACTATTAAGACAAAACTAAGTTACAATAAATCTGGACTGGTCTTAAAAACTACAGGAATTAAAACTTCTCAAAACACACTCAGATCAAGTCTTTGTAGAGTTCTGTCTCCAAACACTTCTCACAATTCAATCAAAATAGCCTCAGAGGTACTCAACAGCATTAAGTTGTACCCCTCTCCACTCCCACGCCCACGCCCACATCTAAACTCATGATTTTGTTCTTCGTATTTGAGATTTTTTTAAATGAATATAAATATTCCAAAATATTACAAGTTTTAAACAGTGTATTCAGCTCCAAAAAATAGGCATTCATACATTAAATGTTTAAATGGCCCTGCCAAGAGTTAGCAATAAATCAAAAGACATATGGATAAACACTAGTGGCAGCTTAGCCACTAAAAAGTGTCATGGGAGAAGCAATATACAACTTCACTTAAAAAAAAAAATTCTAGTCTAAGTCTACTGACTAAATACCACAAGTGGGAGAAATGGGAAATGCTATTTAAACTATACCTTAAAATGTACTGTGATGTTCCAAGGAAGAGCTGAACTTGATGCAAGAAGATCAAACAGCAAACCAATTGGATAATGCCTAAAAATGAAAAGAGTATGTTTTAAGAAAGAATATTTTAAAGTTGTAACTACAACTCCAAAATAAATTTCAGCACATACTGTAACATCAAATATCAGGGGGCTTTAACCACAAATCATAGAATGGTAACATTTTACACAGTTACTTGCCCAAGCTAATATGGTATAGTTTCCAGGTATCAGTTTTCTTCTAAGCATTTCATTCATTGAAGCCTCAATATACATAATGGGATTGTGCTAAAGCATCTTTTATCAGCCATGACCACTGTTATATCACAGTACTGCAGTATCTGATTATCATCCCAATATTCACACTGGACAGTTTATTAAAGTTTATTTAAATATATTTTTTTATTTTTAAAACAACTTAAAATATTAGAAAATTTTAAGAACTAAGAAAAGCACCTTAAAAAAGCATGCAATCATCTATTTTGTGGTTATTACTATTAACGCTATAGAAAGTGAGTCTTTATACATATGCATACATATGTAAATATAGATTAGGCTTATCCTTTACAAAACACTATAACCTGCTTTTTCCGTATAACAACATGTCAACATTTTCCAAAGTCACTGAATATTTTTCTGCAACCTCAGACTAAAGCTTTTTACAAAAACAAATTTTGGACTTCCTAATTTCCAAATATAACCATTACTTATAGTGAAGCAAATTATTTAGCAATAATACAAACCTTGCAGATTTCAACAAACAAATCTTATTTTTTAAATCATCCTTTTAAAGAATCTAAAGTGGCTTCAATAATGAAACAGAATTAAACAATACTTCCAACAAAGGCAAAAAGAGGACTACTTGGTGTCATGTACAATCCTGTTCTTTATATGTTAGTGAGTTATTCCTAGATTCAGAAGCTGAAAAATTTGGAAATACATCTAATTCCCCTCAAAATGAATGACCCAAAATACTACCTAACAAAGATTCAAATATTGACTAATGCTAGTTATGTTTGTTTACATCTATGTAATACAATTGGTGAAAAGTCATCAATCACTAGAGATGTTATTTAGAAAGAATTTAGAATGAATGCCCTGCTAGTAAAATAAAACAGTGGGTAGTTTTAGTCATATATGTGTTGTATCTCTTAATAACCCTTAAGCCTCTCTATTTGAAAGTCAGCATCTAATACGAATCTTTCATAACCAAATATGAATACTGAAGGAAATTTTGGACTATCTAAATAATAGAATGTTTCCTTCAGAAACATTTCAGACCCAGAAAAAAACCCTGGTCTGTCAAAAACTAAAATAAAAATAATCTGAGGAACAAAAATACTGCATTACAGAAAAGTTAACAGATTCTATCCAATTCTGATCCTTCCCTCTGAACTTCTTAAAATTGTACAAGCTCTAAATAATGCCTTGTATTTTTACAAAACAGACCTTAGTTAGTCCTCATTCTATTCCAGGAATTCTACTTCATCATTCTAGGAATTATTTTATCATTATTTATCAATTATTCCCAACTGTGCTTAAAAAAAAAAAGACTAAAATAGTAACAATTTGGAAGAATAATGGCATGCCTAGAAGGATGATACAATAATGCATCCTTCCATTTTCTCATTGCTTCACCTAGAATATTACATCATATTTCAAGGAAGTATAAAATAAGGATGCACACCCCATCTTTGGAGTCTGCTTTTATCTATCATTAATACAACTGAAAATTCAAAATGTCTAATTTTCCATGCATAATGGGAAAGAGAGGAAAATTGACAAGGGAAAATGTTACACAATTATTACATAAATCAGAAGGTTTTTACAGAGACAGCAGTACTTTGGACTTTAATGACAGTGGCAAAATTGATCATTTAAGTGAAATCTCAGACTATGAGTCATTAGATGATATTCTAGGTGAACTTTACAGAATTCAAAAACTAATGAATGAACAATATATTTCTAAAAACATGGCATTCTTAATCCACTTAGTCATTCAACGGCAAGAATTTCATCATACAATATTTTATGACAAGAACCCGAACCATTTTGTTAAAAAGATGTGTGATAGTATTTTTTCATCTTTTATGCCATTTGTGCACCGCAATTTACCTGATAGTAAGTGAGCAAGAGCTAAAGGCAGATTTGTACCAAAGACGACTAGAAGGAATTATATGATGTAGAAACGAACAAGTATTGACTGATCATTCTAATTGGTGTTTACTAATGGACACAAGTATTTTACAACAAAATCATGATCTGTCAAAGGTTTAAAAATTTCTTTAAGCATTGTTGTTAAGCACAAGAAGAGCCAGAAGTCACAATAAGCTAGAACCTCTTAGAGGTCTATTTGAATGTATGACAACTAATGAGTAGTTAGTTGCATTCGGAAGACATGGCCCATTTCCGGCATCTATACCTTCAAAACCAGGAAAATATGGAGCATAAATCTGAATTTGCTGTATCTAAATGCTTTTTAAAATTTCTAATAAAGTTGTCCTACACTATTCTTTTATTTTTCTCTAAGTTACTTATAAAATAACTTACATAGATATATTTTTAAAGTTCACTGGTCTCAGATGGTAAATGATGACTCTTTTTCCCAATATACTAGAGATTAGGATGAAATTTAAATATTATGGTTGCTAATACTTACCTTTAATGATAAATGTATGTAAAGTACCATTATAAAAGCATTCTAAATATGATAACTAATAATTATCCTGTAATGATCTTTAAAAATAAAACTGCAGCAGAGAGTTATTTACTTCCTTCTGTTATCAAAGTCTACAACATGTATAACTTATATGTAGCTCAATGCAGATGTTTATGTCCAAATGATTTTGATGCAAGGATACTAACTCCAAACAAATATACTATCTGAATTAACTGGTTCCAAGACTGCTTATTTCTGATAAGTCTATTAATACGCAAGAAAATCTGTAACAGAGGGCGCCTGGGTGGCTCAGTTGGTTAAGCAACTGCCTTCGGCTCAGGTCATGATCCTGGAGTCCCTGGATGGAGTCCCGCATCGGGCTCCCTGCTCGGCAGGG